CACCCCAATGCCAGCCTCATTCTACAACAGTGGCACCATATAGCATTTGTCCCTTTGTGACTGAGATACCTCACTCAGCATAATGTCCTCCAGGGTCAGGTTTTGAAAGGTGTAGCCAAAGTGCTTCTTAGAGGCAAGTATGCTGAAGCTTCGTCTCACATACTGTGGGTGTGTTGTTAGGAGGGACTGTTCCTTGGAAAGGGACGTCATGCTTGGAAAGGTAGATGGTCAGTGAAGGAGAGCAAGACCCTCAATGAATTGGATTGACATAGCTATGGGTTCACGTGTGTCTCGGATGATAAGGACGGCGCAGGTTATGTTCGGATCTGTTGTTCATAGGGTTGATAAGAGTTGTGCTTGACTCCACAGCACCTAACAACATAGCAACCCTGCGAGGCCGAATAGGACTGCTGGCTGCGTTTCTGGGCTTGTAAATGGACGTAGACTGCCTCGTTTATCTTCCTCAGAGAGGCTGCTGGACTCCAAACCACTGACCTTTCAGTTTGTAGCCAAGAGCTTTAACCACTGCGCCTTCAGGGCTCTTTAATTTAAGCCCATTTGTCTTTTATTATCTGCTTCACAGAGTAAGAAAAATGATGGCTAGCATATATAGAAATACTTTTCTGTAGATGAAGACCAAACTTTTCAAACTTGACCACCTGGAAGGCTAGTTAACAAGGCTTCCTGAGCCCCATCCCCCAGATTCCCTGGCTGTTGGGTGGGGCCCGACAATTTGCATTTCAGACAGGTTCCCCACAGTGAGACTGAGGCTACTTATCTAGGTTCCACACTGAAGAGTCTGTGAAGTTTGAAGTCAGTGCTTCTCCAAGCTGGCCACTCTGTTAGCATAAGTAGGAACTTTAAAAAATCCTATTTCCTGCCCTCTTGCAGAGATACTGATTTAATTGGCCAGAGACAGAGCCCAGGATTGGTATTTTTAACATACCACACCGTCTTAGTGTGAGTCTGATAATTAGCCAGGACTTCCATCCCCTGACCTGAGCTGGGCAGGTCTGCTTGCTTTTCTGTTTGTTTTTGAGAAGGCAGGAATCAGCCATAGGTTCCTGGGTTTCATTTTCAGCCTGGGCCATGTGATCTTAACATATATGTGGTTCTTAGGGATCAGTGTTTTGCCCATTCGTGCAGTGGTTATAATCTTTCCCTTAAGCAAGTAGAGGAGGGGGCCTTGTAGCGCATCACGTTCCGAGATATCGGGGGGGGGGGGGGGGAAGCCCTCTTAGTGCTCTGTGGGAGGCTTTCTCCAGGACTTGCGGCTCCTTCAGGAGGAGGGTAGAGCTGGCCGGGACACTGGACCCTTCAGGTGAACAGCATCTTAAGCCACTGGAGCAGGCTGTAAGCAGGGTTTGTGGAAGATTTAGCCTGGATCCTGAAGGCCAGGGCCTCTGGCCACCCTGTCACCTCCCATGTTCGACTTCAGCCTGGAGTGACTTTTAGAGGCACATAGACATAATCTGTCACCAGCCTTTGAAGTCACACTCCTGACGTCATTGTTTGTGGATGGCTGCAACTGAAACATTAACGCCTACTGCTGCCCATAACCAGATGATATTCAGAAGCATCATTTTGCTGTCAGATGCCATTCCCAGGGTTCCTACTTATTTGCTTGCTCTTTCTCTGTTGGGGGTCAGGCTGCTGTCAGGGAGAGTCTCAATTAGTCTGCCTGTGGTCATTCCCCCAGTTTATACCTAGGCTACGTCAATTTCTTTTTAAACTGACTCCTTGTATCCATGATGGGTTTGTTGTTGGTTATTTTTAACCATCTTCTTTCAAATAACCATATAGGGGAAAATTAATGTTTTCCACCCAGATATATTTATTAAATCCAAGCTTTCTTGATATTTTTAGAAGATCAATTGATAAATTTCTTTATTTAAAAAATTGGTTGCTGTTGAGTTGTTGTTGTACTTAGATGACACTGAGTTGTATACCGCTCATAGAGACCCTGTGAATAACAGATATGAACCCTGTGCTATCCTGCCCTGTGCTTATCTGCCCCAACACGTTTGAGCACATTGCCGAAGTCACTGTGTCAGTCCGTCTCACTGAGGGCATTTGTCTCTTTGGCTGACCTTCCACCTTTCCAAGCATGATATCTTTTGGAGGAATATCCTCACCTAAATCATGTCCGAAGTATGTGAAACAAAGCTCTGCCATCCTTGTCTCCAAGGAGAGCTCTGGTTATACCCTCTCTAAGATTTAATTGTTCTTTTGGCAGTCCATGGTATATTCAGTACTTCTCTCCAACACCCTAACTCAAAGGCGTAGAGTCTCCTTCCCTCATCCTTATTCATTGCCTGGCTCTCAGATACCTAACAAGTACCTGAAAAGACTGTGGTCTGAATCAGGTGCATCTTAATCCTCAAACTGATATCATTACTCCTCTATAATTTGGAGAGGTCCCTGACTACAGACTTACCAGTACTGTATGTCTCTTGATCTCCTAACTGCTGGTACCAAGGGTGTTGCTTGTGGATCCAACTTTGGGGAAAAATCATTGACAACTTCAGGTTTTTTTCCGTCTATCGTGATACTGCCTATTGGCCCAGTGGTAAGGATTTTTCTTTCTTCATGTTGAGAGGTAACCCCCAATGAAAGCTGTAGTCCTTGATCTTCTGCAACCAGAACCCCAAGTGAAGAGCAAGCAAGATTGTGTCACCTGCATAACCTAAGCTATAGATGAATCTTCCTCCAGTCTTGATGCCACATTCCTCTCATAAAGTCCAGCTGCTTGAATGATTTGCTCATCATATAGTACGGAGAAAGGATGCAGGCATGATTCACACCTTTCTTTAGTTCTAAACCATGCAGTATTGCCTTGCTCTAAGTATAGATTTCATATAAGCATAAAGTGCTCTAGAATTCGCATTCTTCTCAGCATTAGCCATAGTTTGTTATGAACCAAAGTCTAATGCCTTTGAGTCGTCCACAAAACACAGATACTCTTCTGCTATTCTCTGCTTTCAGCCAGAATCCATCTGACATCAGCAGTGATACCCCTATCACCAAAGTCTGTTTAAACCCAGAGTGAATTTCTGGCAGTTCTCTGGCAATGAACTGTTTTAGTTGTTTTTGGATTATCTTCAGCAATACTTGTTTTACATGTAATACTGATGATATTGTTTGATAATTTCCACATTCTCTTGGATCACCTTTCTTGGGAATGTGAGCAAATAGGAATCTCTTCCAGTCAATTAGGCAGACAGCTGTCTTCCAAATTTCCTGGCATAGCTTGGTGAGTACATCTAGGGTTATATCTGTTTGTTGAAATATGTTAGTTGGTATCCTATCCATTCCTGGGGTCTTACTATTTGCTCATGCCTTAAGTGCAGCTTGAACTTCTTCCTTCATCACTACTGATTCTTGATCCTACATTGCTTCCTGAAATGGAACGATCTGTACCAGTTTCTTTTTGGTATAGTGACTGTATTCCTCCCACCTTCTGTTGATGCTTCCTGGATCATTCAGGATTTTGCCCATAGCATTGCTTGGTATTGCAACTTGAGACTTGATTTCTTTCTTTCTTTTTTTTTTTCTCAATTCTTTTAGCTTGAGAAATGCCAAAATGAGTTCTTCCCTTTTTACTCTCCTCCTCCAGCTCTTTGCATGTTCCGTTCTAACACTTTGCTTTGTCTTTTCGAGCGGCCCGTTGAAATCTTCTGTTCAGCTTTTATTTATTTTTTTTCAATTGTATTATTTTACGTGTACCGTCAAATCAGATCTGACTGGTACAGGAGGAGACTGCCCCTCCTTCTCCAGCAGAGCATCTGGTGGATTTGAACCACATACCTCTGGGATTGCAGTGCAGAGTCTTGCCACTAGGCCACCAGAGCTCCCTTTGTTCAGCTTTTTTACTTTGTCATCTCTTCCCTTTGTTTCAGCTTCTCAGCTCTAGGGCAATACTCAGTCTCTTCTGATATCCTTTTTGGTCTTTTCTTTGTCCTGTGTCTTTGTACCGACCTTTTGCTCTCTTCATGGATGTTACTTTTTGTGTCATCCCACATTCATCTGGCCTTCAATCATTAGTGTTCTGTGCCTCAAACCTGTTAATGGAGATAACTTTTCCGTTCAGATGGGATAGACCCAAGGTCGTCTTTTCCTTCTGTGGACCTGCTATCTATTTACTTCCCCCTCTCAGTTCATTTGGGTGTTTCGTATGCTGCCCTGGGCCCATCATCTGAGATCACTTAACATAGTGGCTACAACAGTGGTCTCAGGAGATTGTGAGACTGGTGCAGGACCAGGCACTGCTTTCTTCGGTAATATGTCTAACTGCCATGAGTCAGAACTGACTCGGGTTAGCTGACAACAGCAGCCTAATCAGAAGATGCCATCATCATCATCTTCATCATCATCATTTAAAGCTTTTGCTTGAGTGTTCATTGCTTGCCTTGTGCACTTTTATAAACATTTTTGTGCTTAAATGTCACGCAGTGCCCACACTAACCCTATGAAACAGAGGCAGCAGCCTCCTGCTGTTACAGTGCATGACGCTAAAGCACGGAGAAGTTAAGGAACTTCTCTAAGGTCACACAGCTAGTAAGTGGCAAAGCTGGATTTAGAGACCCAGGCAGTATGGCCACTCTGCCCACGGGCATCTCTTTTCCCTATGTGTAAAATGAATCTAATCACAGTGTCCACTTACAGAGTTGTCAGGGGCGGGGGGAAGGATGCATGTTCATTTCTTGGCATTTGGCTTAAAGCATGAACTGTGATTATTATACCTGTAATCCTGGAAATTCAGGGTGTTTCCGACCTGCTGGGCTGTCCCCAGTCACTTACCCTCATGGCGCCCGTCTTCATCATACTTCCCATGGTCTTACTCTGTTGCTTATTTTTCTTTCCTGTCATGTCGCAAAAGCCTCGATGGCAAGTACTTTCTTCACGTCTGAGTTGCCAGTGCCAAGCCCAGGGCTGTGTCCTCTGAGTGAATGAAGTTTATGAGACCTAGAAAGACAAGGAGTGGGTGGCATGGCAGGAGGGCAGGCGTACTCACTTCAGTGTGTTTGGTTTTTTCCTCATTGCAGATGTCAAGACCAGGAAATGGAACTTTCTCTTGGAAGAGCACAATAAACTGAGTGAGATGCTGTTCTTCTCTTATTTCATGCTGGGGGCGTTCTGGTAGCTCAGGGGTAAGGAGCTGCGCTGTCCAGCCCAAAGTCACCAGAGGACAAAGATTTACTGCTTCTGAGAACCTGCCGAAGGGTCAGCTGTGAGTCGTTTCCGACCCCATGGCACCTAACAACAACATTGTTTGTTGATCATTGATAATCTGCCTTAACTTTAGCATTTTTTTTCTTATTAGTTTTAATGAAAGCTTACAGAGATTTAGGGTTTCCAGTCATTCATTGTTGTACTTTTCTCCCTACCCACTCCCACTCCCCCTTCACTCTTCTCCTTGAAAAGAAAAACTCTTTCATTGTTATGCACTCCCTCCCCCCAAGTTCACTCCACTATGCAACCTTTATTCTGGACTTCTGTAATGACAAGAATACCCATTCACATATATCCCTTTTAAACAGATCTCTCTCTCATCTGTTTGAATGCAGTATGCATCATTCTTCTCCTCCTTTTTTGTCTTCCCTCAACCCTGATGTCAGTCCTATTTTACAACAGTGGCCCTATGCAATATTTGTCCTTTTGTGACTGAGATATTTCAATCAGCATAATGTCCTCCAGGGTCACCCATTTTGCATAATATTTCATGAGTTCCTTGTTTTTCAAGGCAGCATAGTATTCCATTGTGTGAATATACCAGAGCTTCTCTATCCATTCGTTTGTTGATGGGCACTTGGGTTGTTTCCAGTCTTTGCTATTGCAAACAAATCCGCAATAAACATGGGTGTGGATAGCATCTTGTTTTTTTTTTAAATGTCACCCTTTCTCAGCTGCAGTCACTTCAGATGCTTGGGGGCCAGGCAACTAAAGCTGAAGATGCTCTCAGGCAGCCTTGCCCACATCCGCTGAGTGATTTTTCAGCTGAAGCGATCCAGAGCCGCTTCCCCCTCCATTGGGGGCGACGCTAAGCAAAGTGAACTTCCCCAGGTCTGACAGACCTGCCTGCCTGCCTGCCTGTCACAGGAGTGAGGGTACAGGGACTTGGTGGTCAGAGGTGAGCTACAGTTGTTTAGCTTAGATTGAAGCCCTGTTTCAAGAATGCGGAAACACTGGCCGGCCTCAGTGGGTAAGGGCATCCCAGTGGGTGGAGGTCTGCCAGTGCAGAAATCAGTTTGGAGTGTAAGCATTTTCCTAAGCACTCTGCGGACTGACCCAGGACAGGGCCATGTGTACAGGTAACCTAAATTTAAGAAAGAGAAGCCAGTTGGACTTACATTCCCTTCCTGCATGGCCTGCCTAGATGGGGCAGTCATACTGAGAAACGGTGATGCTCGTCTCTCATCCGTCTTCATGCTGTGAAGTTCATCAGTGGGTGTACGGCTGGAGCAACGTCAGTCCCACCACTGGAGGAGCTGTTCGTTAGGACCAGTGAGGCCAGAAGAATACGGGAGCTCTGCGTCACACACACACTGGCCTCTTGCGCACCAGAGAGGGCTCTGAAGAAGAGGGGAAGGGGCTTCTTTTCCTTTGTCTTCTTCTCAGTTAGGACCCTGTATGATCCAGGATCCTGGGTTTCATTTGCACCTTCAGTGAAAAATGAGGCGCTCATCTGTATCTGCCTTGTTGGTATGGGAATGAAATAAGGGCAGAGTCTTTGATTCTGTGAAGATAGCTTGCTGCTGCAAACCACAATTGAGAAGCTGATGTGAGACGTGGTATCATTAAATGCTGGTGAGGAGTCACCAGGAGTGTAAACAGCACACTAGTCTCTTGGCTGTAAGGTGGGATGTTTGAGTCTACCCCATGGCACCTTGAAAGAAAGGCCTGGCTATTTGCCTCCAGAACAGACAGTCATTGAAAAACCCTGTGGAGCACAGTTCTGCTTTGTTACACATGGAACTGTTCTCAGAGTCAACTCGGTAGCAGCTGGGCTGGTCAGAGCTAAAGAACAAGCAGATAGGATGTGATGTCAGGCTCCGATGCGTGCTGGAGCTTTTGACTCAAGGGAGGTTGTTTGAGCAAAACGGAATTTGTTTGTAGCAAATGAGGGTCCTTCCTTGCCTGCTCTCAACCCAGGAATACATATAACTATGCTAGTTAAATCTTTGACTTTTATGGAAAAACAAAAAATTGGATACTACCAATAGTCAAGAATCAAAAGATGTATTGCATTGGGAAAGTCTGCTTTTGTCAAAGTCCTCTCTAAAGTACTAAGAGGGAGTGATGTCAGTTTGAAGGTTAAGGTCCCTCTGAATCAAGCCATGGTCTTTTCAGTTAATGAGAGCTGGACAGTGAATAAGGATGACAAGGAGAAGACTCGATGCCTTTGAGCTGTGGTGTTGAAGAAGAGTCCTGAATATCCCATGGACGGCCAAAAGAACAAACATAAATCTTGGAGAAAATGCAGCCAAAGTGCTCCTTTGAGGCAAGGATGGCGAAGCTTCACCTCACATGCTTTGGGCATGTTGTTAAGAGGAGTCATTCTGTTGAAAACAATATCATAAATGGGAAGGTGGAGGGTCCGTGAAGGAGAAGAAGACCCTCAGTGAGATGGGCTGATACCGTGACTGTAGCAGTGAGTATGTCAGAAATGATGAGGATGACACCGGATAGGACAAGGTTCAAATTTGTTGTTCTTGGAGTTACTGTGAGTCATGATTGACTCAGCGTCTCCTCACAACAACAGCCAGCATTAGCAGGTGAACGTAACGTTGAAACTCATGACTCACTGATCCTTTATAGAGTAACAGTTCCTAATCTTTGGTGGGAAAACTTTATTCAAATAGTGGCTTCTCCACCCAGAAGAGTCACACGTACAATTCTGCGTTCGGTTTTAGTCACTCCTTGGATCTTAGGAATCCTCAGGTGTTCAGATCGATTTTTCTTTGTCATCTCATCATTACGGTGTCTGGTAGGAGACATTGTCCCCACTGTGTCGATTGAAAGTCGCCATCCTTGAGCAGCTCAATGTTAGGGACGGTGATAGACTACGATAGTTGTCTGCTTCTGAACTGACTCTTCATGGCGTTTAGAAGCGACGTGAACGAGAGAGACGGACTAAGGCTTCAAAGCACGTAGCACAGTTTTAGGAGGGCTTCTGCTTCCACCATCGACATGCTGTGAACCTGGGGCACTTTAGCACTTTTTCCTCACCCCTAGTGGTACAGCTGTTAAAACACTTGAATGCTAACCAAAGGTGGTTGTCTCAGACTCACCTGGTGCCCCATGTAAAAGATAATAGTGGTCCACTTCGGGAAAGATTTGTAGCCTTGGAACCCCTCTGAGACCTCTACCGTGTCTTTTAGGGTTTCCAAAAGTCAGAACTGACTCAGTGGCAGTGGGTTTGGTTTTGGGTTTTCAGCTCACCCCTAGGTCTTGGTTCTTCATGTGTGAAATTAGATTATGGATCCTGAACTAGCAAATGTGCATATGAAACGAATTCAGAAATGACAATAAGACCTCTGAGTCTGCATGCTCATTGATACGTGATGGTAATTCTTTTCTTTACATTAGGCGAGCCGACGAGCCTTTCTCCCCTTTTCTCTGTGACTTGAGGCCTTTCGCCCACATTGAAGTTGGCATAAGGCCTTTTGTTTATCCTCGGCTGTCACAGTCCAGAAGGGTTCTGCGTCTCCCTCCGCGATCTTGTCTTGTCATCCACTATTTGAAAACATTAATGTCGCTCTGCTGTGTGGCTCAGTCTGGGTCTGCCGGAGAGCTGTTTTACAGAAATGACTTCCCACTGACTCATGATGCCAGACAGCTCATTGCTTTCAGCTCCTCAGCACCAGAGAAAGGACAATAGAGGCAGCGGGGAGGGGGCCCAGTGGCCTCTCAGAAACACACCCAGCTGGGCGAGCTGCAGCCTAGGGTATGGGAGACAATTGTGGGAGGAAGTCGGATACAAGGTGATTTTCCCCCCCTCTCAAATGACTGCGAGTATAATGCTTACAAAGCACTCTGTTTCACACCAGCCACATCATCAGGCCTGCTTTACCTTCATCGGGTATTTCGGTTCAGAAGAGCGCCAAGATTAAAATGAAAATTGTTTCAGAGAGCTCCTGGAGTGCTCCGTCTCCTGACGTGTGCAGGATCCGCATGCCCGGATTTAATTTGGAGGTGTGAAATGTGTTCCTGCATCAAGATGGACAGTCTCTTTTATATTAGACCCATCACCCTTACCTGATTTCCTATCCCAGTGTTCTGTTCACAGAATCAGTTTCCAGAAATGAACTGGTGCTTCCATTTAGCAGAAGACAGAAGTGGATTGAAATGTATTGCAAATACAATGCTACTTAAGGTCGAAGGATATGGATCAGTTTCCCGTTTGGTAGTTGTGGCCAAGGACTTGGAGTACTTGGTGAGCTTACTAAGATCGTGCAAGAGCATGTGAAATAGAAAGCCAACAGCCTTTCCATTTCCAGTAGCTTCGGGTACAAGTAAATGCACTCGGTCTCTTTACTGAATCCCAGGAAAGAGTTAGACCGTTGGTTAATTACTTTAGCTGTGCCTCGGTGCACCTGACAAGATAAACAATCAAAGAGCAATTGAAGATCTATAAACAGTGTTTTCTTCTCTGATTAGCTTTTTCAGAGGAGAGTGGTAAAAGAGATGAACATCTTCGAGCTGTGATCTATAGGACAGTAGAATATAATTAGTAATTTAATGAAACTTCTACTCTTAGTGTTGCTCATCTTTCTCCTGAGGGGCAAGCAGCTGGTTCATTTGAACCATTTGCTTTTTGGGTTGGCAGCACAGCTCCTTACCCTCTAAGCCACCAGAGCTCCCATGTACTGAAAAGCAACGATGTCAATCTAGAGACTAAGGTACGCCTAATCCAGGCCATAGCCTTCGCAGTTACTTGCTATGCATCAGAGAGCTGGATAATGAGTAAGGATGACAGAAGAAGAATTGATGCCTTTGATTTGTGGTGCTGGAGAAGAGTCTTGAACATACCATAGACCACCAAGAAAACAAATAGGTCTGTATTGGAGAGGGTAAAACCAAGTTTCTCCCTGGAGGCTAAGATTTTGAAGCTCCATCTCACATACTTTGGGCATGTGGCCAGGAGGGACTGGTCCTTGGAGAAGGACATCATGCTCGGAAGGGTGGAAGGAGATGAAGACCCTGGATGAGATGGATTTGATACAGTAACTGGGGAAGTGGGGGTATATGTATGTCGGAATTACTGAGACTGGCTCAGAACAGGGCACACTTCAAAGCTGCTGTCATAGGGTCGCTATGAGTTGCAGGTGACTCGACGGCACATAACAACTACTAGGGATCTCTGGCACAATTACTCTTTTTTTCCCCATTTTAAACTTGTCCTGTGTTTTTTGTTGTGTTTTTTTTCTTTTCCTCACTTGCTAGAATTGTATGTTTTGCTTGTATCTGTATTTTTTCTAATTATTGAGTGAAGTTTTGGGGTGGGGTTTTTCCTCTTAATTTTAAGTCAGGTGAGAAGAAATTTTTTAAAAAGACAAAATTAGTAAAATTTAATTTGCTCTCATTTCTAAGTAGGTCCCAAGTACTTTCTTTTTCTTACCTGAGTGAATGGCCTTGACTAAAGAGATTTCCTCATTCGTTAAACAGAGGAAGCTTAATAGAAAGAGAATAATGATTACTCCAGCAATAGTAGGAGTTGACAAAAGTTTGTTGGGTTTTTTTTTTTAATTTTATTATTTTGTGTGTGTGTATGTGTGTGTCTGACTGGTACAGGAGGAGATTGCCCCTCCTTCTCCAGCAGAGCATCTGGTGGATTTGAACCGCATATCTCATCAGCAGAGAACTGCCAGAAGTCCAGGCTGGGTTTAGAAGGGGTCATGGTACTAGGGATATTGTAGCTAATGTTAGATGGATCTTAGCTGAAAGCAGGCAATACCAGAGGAATGTCTATCTCTGTTTCATTGACTATGCAAAGGCGTTTGACTGTGTGGATCATAACAAACTGTGGCTGACTCTGAGAAGAATGGGAATCCCAGAACACTTGATCGTGCTAATAAGAAACCTGTACTGGGACCAAGAGGCAGTCATCAGAACAGAGCAAGGAAACACTGCATGGTTCAAAATTGGGAAGGGCATACGCCAGGGATGCGTCCTGTCTCCGTACCTTTTCAACCTGTATGCAGAACAGATTATCTGGGAGGCTGGGCTCTATGAGGAGAAATGTGAGGTCAAGATTGGTGGAAGATCTATCAACAATCTGTAATATGCAGATGATACAGCCCTGCTTGCTGAAACTGAGGAGGACCTGAAGCGCTTGCTGCAGAGGGTCAAGGACTGCAGCTCCAATATGGATTAAGGCTCAATGTCAAGAAGACAAAGATTCTCACCACTGGACCAATTGGCAACATCAGGATGGATGAAGAGATTGAGATTGCTCACAGCTTCAGTTTGCTTGGCTCCACAGTCAACACTCTCGGGACCAGTAGTCAGGAAATTAAAAGACGTATTGTGATGGGAAAGTCTGCTGTTAGGGACCTCTCCAAAGTACTGAAGAGCAAGGTGTCTCTTTGGAGACTGAGGTGTGTCTGATACAGGCCATGGTCTTTGCTATCACTTGTTATGCATCAGAGAGTTGGACAATGACTAAGGAGAATAGAAGGAAAAATTGATGCCTTTGAGCTGTTGGTGCTGGAGAAGAGTATTGAGGGTACCATGGACTGCTAGGAAAATAAATAGATTCATTCTGGAAAGGGTCAAACCGGGCTGCTCCTTGGAGGCAAGGATTCTAAGGCTCCATCTAACATACTTACTTTAGACATGTTGTGAGGAGGGACAGGTCCTTGGAGAGGGACATCATGCTTGGGAGGGTGGAGGGACAGTGCAGAAGGGGAAGGCCCCCTATGAGGTGGATTGATTCAGTGACTGGGATAATTGGGATGGGTGTATCGGAGATGCTGCGATTGGCAGAGGACAGAGCAGAGTTTAGGGATGTTGTACATAGGGTCTCTATGAGTTGAAAATGACTTGACAGCACATAACAAACACCACCTCTGGGATTGCAGTGCAGCTTCTTGCCACTAGGGACAAAAGATTTTTTAGGAATGAACCAGATGGTAATATTTAGGTTTTGCAGATCATGTGGTCCATGTTGCAGCTACCCAGCTCAGTTTTATCATGGTGTGAAAGCAGCCAGGGTTAATCCATGCACGAATGGCTGTGTCCATGCACAGAGGACTGTGTTCCAGTAACATTTCTGTGCAAAAATGGGCAGTAAGCTGGCTTTGGCCCCTAGACCCTTGTCTGTCAGTCCTTTCTTTAGAGGATAAACAGGGAGCCATCAAGTCACTTTCAGATGGAACAGATTTTTCCAGCTGCTGCTCCGCACAGATCACTGCTGGAAACGCACCTCTTTTAAGAGGAGATACTTTTCCTTGGAACTTTGCAGAGCCACCTACATTGTTAGCAGTTTGTGATCTCTGCTCTTCCCCTCCCCCTTCTTTCTTTATTTTAAATACCATTCCAAGGCTGCTATGCTCTCATCCTTGCAGCATTTTTTAGTTCAGTGTTTGCTCACTTATTTGCAGCTGTTGTTGTTATGTACCATTGAGTCAGAACTAACTCACAGGTGACCCTCCAGCGGGTTTTTCAGAGGCGGTAGATTGCACAGGAGAAGATTGCCCGTCTTTCCTCCACACACACAGCAGGTGGTGGATTTGAACCACCTGCCTTTGAGTTGGCAGCATAACTCCTTACCACTTCCCCAACCCACCAAGATAAGAGAGAGAATGGAAAAACAGATTTATTTAATTTAGATTTGCTTTTCCATAGGTCTTGTTTGACTAATATCTAGAATATGGTAATACTAAGGTTAACATTTTTAAAAACTTTTGATTAAAAAAAATCGGGCACAGAGCACTTTATTATTACTATTTTTTTTATTTGTTATCATTGATTGCTTGCCCTCTTATTTGTAAAAAGTAAGGCACAGAAGAAAAACTTTTTCTAGATTCATGTACTTTGTGTACGATACAACTGTCCACCTCAGTCTCCTCTTCAGTTAACCTTTTTTAGAGAAGACGGCAGGTAGTAAAATTCCAGATCTTGAATTTGTTTATCCAAACCCCTAACTCCCTAGATATTTCAGAAGGTAATGCTCCATTTCACACAGCTCTGTTCTTCCTAGTTCAGAAAGTGCGCTGCCTTCCACAAGTTCAGCTGGATCCTCTGCCCAAGACAGTTGTCCAGGTTTTCGCTTCTCAACTGGAGAAGACGTCTCTTGAGCGCCCCGCCGATGTCCCTGAGGCAGACCTCTCCGAGGTGGACGCCAAGCTTGTGAACAGCCTGATGCCCTTTCAGAGAGCCGGTGTCAAGTATGTTGCCCTGCCTCTTCCTCTTCCTCTCTCACTGTATAGATCACTCCCCAAGAATTGGGTTCCCTGGCTTCCCTTCTTTACGAGTACTCGTCTTCCACAGACATCTTGGCAGACACAGCCAGACGTGCCATTACCAGAGCTGTGTTGTCACCACTGATTTCAAATTCCATGACTGAATCTGGACTCTGGTTGCGGGTGTGCAGAAACCCAGCCCAGACTAGGTTAAGCAGACAGACATGGCAGCAAGTATAGCAAACGCAGGCTCGTGGAAATCTCAGGACTCTCTGCCCTCTGTTGGCACTGCGGGTTCTCGGTTTGCTTTGTTCTCAGCCATGCTCTGTGCAGATGTGGCGGCTAGTGCCGCAGGGCCTTGCTGCTCCCTGTATCTGCTTAGTGACCCAGCAGAAGCACTTCTTCCTTCACGGGTCACGGTGGTGAGAAAGGCTTGGAAAGTCTACTCATGTGTCACACCTCACTGTCATCAGGTCACTTCCGACTCATAGCGACCCTCCACTGGCTTTCCAAGGTGGTCAGTTGTAATGGGAGGAGGCTACCTGTCGTTCTCCTCCAGAGCCTGGATTCGCACTGCTGGAGATGCAGCCTCTGTGTTCACTACACTGCTCACTGCACCATCCCTGGAGCCAGATGTTGGCGTCGGGCCCTCCTGGATTCCTCAGACCAAGAGAGAGAGGAGGAGGTTCTCTGCACGAAAGCCGGTGTACTGTTATCATAACAAGAAAAACATAAACTTGTGTTTCATAGAAAGAAAAACAAAGCCTGACCTGTCCTTTCTTCCATTGTTTCTTGAAAAAAGCAAATTGACAAGACTGAATACAGAGACCAAGAAGTGGGAGGAGGTCCTGTTTGGTCAGTCTGTCCAGAAAGAATAAGAATTAGGTCTGTCATAAATGCTCCGTAATTTATAACAGATCTAATTCTTACGATTAGCTTAAGTTTTTAAAATAAAAAAAATTAATTAGATAATTGTTATTAGGCTGTGCAGTTGACAGTGGAGCCCTGTGCACAGGACCAGCCCAGCCCACAGTCGTTGAGTTGTGGCATCCCTTCACCTGGTCCCTGTGGCTGAAAATCCCAACTGACGGCCTCATCTTTCTCCAGAGGACTGGCTGGTAGATTTGAACTGCTGATCTTTTTTTAAAAAAAAAATTATTATTCATGTTAATGAAAATTTACAGAGACTTTGGATTTCCATTCATTCATTGTTGCACTTTTTTCCCTACCTAACCCTCCCCCCCAGTACACTCCTTTCTTTGAAAAGTAAAAGAAAAATTCTTTCACTGTTATACTGTACCTCCCCCCAGGTCCACTCCACTATGCAGCCTTCGTTCTGGACTCCCGCCATGACAAAAATACCTAATCACATATCCCTTTTAAACAGTTTTCTCCCTCATCTGTTTCAGTGAACTGCTGACCTTTTCACCAGCAGCCTGACATGTAACACTCCGCACCTCCTCAGGGCTCGTCCACGCAAGCAAGGAAAGGAACCTAAATTACCAGCTAAGCCTGTCCGCTGTGGCCTGACCGGTGTGAGGCTTCAAAGCCCTTTATTCTGCTTGACCTGTCTTTGGCTTGCTTTTCTGCCCCAGATACACTGACTCAGAATCTACATTTTCACAAAATCCCCGGGTGATTCTTCATACCTATTCTTAGGTAAAAAGGGTCATTTGTGGATCTTGTTAAAATGTAGATTCTTTGTCAGTGTTACCTAGTGTAGAGGTCTCTAAGCGAGGTCAGACAGATGAACCTGTTCAAATCCGTGGACTGGGCCTTGTGGATAAAGCTTGGTTACTGTCTTTAGTATGAGGGTCAGTGAAGGAGAGGAAGACCCTCCCCCCCACAATGAGATGAATTGACACAGTGACTATAGAACTTGGCCCTAGTGTGCCCAAGATGATGAGGCTGGCTCAGGATAGAGCAGAGTTCTGGTCTGTTCATGGCATCACTGTGAGTTGTACTTTACTGAGTGGCCCCCAGCAACAACACCACCAACATCTTTAGTGGAGTTCTGGTAACATAGTCCATTTACCAACAAAGGCCAAGCGTCTCTAGCAGTTCGAATCTACCCACTGGTAGAAGAGAGAGAGATGGGTTATCTCTGCAGTTTACAGCCTTGCAGACCTGCTGGAGGGTCAGCTATGAGTTGGCTTCGACATGACAGCAATGGCTTGACTTAACTCTCTTTCTCAGGGGATTGCTCTTTGTGGGAGAGTTAGGTCCACTTGTACCTCACTACATTCCTGGGCCCCAGCTCTCCTCGTCGCCACGTTCTTCCTTTCTCTTCCATCCTTTACACTTCGTAAAATACCATCTTGCTTTGCTGTTTTCAGTCATCCATCTGTTGTGATGCATTTTGAACCCGGCTCAGGTGGTTCTTTCGCACCCTTAGGTATGAGGTTCTTCCAGGTTCCGTGAGGGATCCTGGAGCCCATGGCCTGTGCTGATCTTGCTGAGGAACCAGCATCCTTGAGATAGAGGCAGTGCATGTGAGTGTCTCCCATGCAACAGCACAGTAGCAGCATCAGCGTGGGACCCACACCGTGGCCAGTGGCTGCTGTCCGTCTCTCTTTACAAAGCTCTGGAGCCAGTAATGGTGCTTATAGGGTTTCATCAAAACTTTCTAATTAAATCCAGGTTCTAACTTCAACCTCTGTCTTCAGGACAGTCCGGCGAGTTTGGTGTTAGCTAAGAGGGCCTATTGAACTCTGTTGCTTTTCTTTTACCTTTTGTATGGAAGAGCTACAGTGAAAATGGCCTCAAAATCTCCTGCGTACATGTCACCTTCCTTAACTCTGAATAGTTCAGCCCAACAGATGAGTGAGTTGAGACGGAATCATTTACCTAAAGTCACCCAGCTTGCAGAAGTGGAATTGAAGCTTAATTCTGCGTTTCTGACATTTTCCTATTGTACTGGTTTTCCTGTACAAGACATTCACCCTCTGTTGTTCCTCTGCCATCCAAACCCTTTATTCCCCCTCTTTGTTTTCATTGTTGGCCCCTTTGTTCTGTAATTGGACCACCATTAGGTAGAGAGAAAACAGAAAGGAAATGAAGCCCCGGGGTTCCTTTGGCTTCTCGAATGACTCACTCCTACAGGAATTGTGTATGAGTGAAGCCAAGGGGCCTGAAGCAGAAGGCCCTCAGCGATCTGGAGTTGGGTGGCTTTTCTTGCCCCAGCTGCTCCCTGTTCTCTCTGGCTTCCGATTTTGTAAATCAGAAAGGAGAGTAAAAAATTAATCATCTCTCACTGGTCTTCTCACCTCTGTGTTGTGAGGTAATACCAGGAATGATCAGATGACTTAATAGAGGTTTATGTGCAAAGAGCATCAGACTGGTTCTTGAAACGATGAGATGACCCACCGAGATGGCCATCCCTCCATCTCAACCAGGGTAGGGTTCTGTGGTTTTGTAGCATTTCGTAGTGCCCTGGCTTGACCCCTCTGTCTCCTGTCTGTAGAGCCTCAGGCAGGCTGGCCTTGGGCTACCCTGGATCCGCTGCTCTGGGTTCCATCTTTGGTCTTGGGTCCTGGCCACTGGCAGTTTAGAAGGGTAGAAATGATCATTCTGAAAGGCCACACGCAGCCTAGAATTCCTGCAGGCCATTAGAAAGTGAAGTAGATGGTCATTGAAAGCTAATTAGAAGAGATTATGTTCTGTTATCTGCTGTGTAACTAGGAAGGGAAAAGAGCTGATTGGTTTATTACAGGCTTCTGAGCAGAGGGCTGCTTTTTCAGTTATTCAGATGACAGAGGCCTGGTATTTGGAGCAGGCTACCTTTTAGCTGTCTACAGATTCATCTTAAAACCTTGAGCAAGGAAATGTCACTGTCACTGCCTTGATTCTTTCTCTGCTTTCTCTTGGGATAATGCCCACAACAGAAATTCCCAGTGTTTACGAGGGTGCAGGCACAGATTTAAGTGTTCTGCCTTCTTTAGCCTGACAGCATTCTGATGGGGCTGGTCCTGGTGTGTTCCCTTCTTAAAGCCAAGGGGGCAGAGGCCCAGAAAGAGTACGTAACTTGTCTGAAAGTTTAGGTCTGCATGGCAGTGGCACTGAGATTTCAGCCTGAGTCATTGTGATCTCAGGACCACACCAACTCGAGTCAGCCCCCTGTGGATTCTTACTCCATAGGACATCATAGGACAGAGTCAAATTGCTCCTTTGGGTTCTCAGTGCTGTAACCTTTGTAGAAGCACACTGTCACAGCTGTGGAGTGGCTGGTGGGCTCAAACTGCCAACCTTTCAGTTAGCAGCCGAGGACTTTTAACCACTACACCCCCAGTCTCCTTTAGGCTCTAGGCGGCAATTATTGGAGGGTCAGCATTGGGGGTTTTTCCTGCCTTTTGATGTGTTTGCTTATTGCTATAAATTGACCTCTGATTACTGCTTTGGCTGTTTCCCAGAGGTTTGTTTCAAGAAACTTTTTAATTTCATTTTTTATTTCTTCTATTACCCACTCATGTTCAAGCTAGTTGTTGTTCAGCTTCTAAATATATATTTTTTCTCCTTTATCTTCTTGTTATTCATTTCTAATTTTGTAGCATTGTGGTGAGAAAATGCTTTGTATTATTTCTACATTTTTTAAATTTATTGATGCTTGCTTTGTGACCTAAAATGTAATCTGTTTTGGAGACTGTTCCATGCATATTAGAGAAGAAGGTATAGTGTGGGTTTTTCGGGGACGCATTAGCCTATAATTATCTATGAGGTCGAGTTGGTTTACTGTGTGGTTTAATTCTTGAGCATCTTTGTTGAATTAGGATCAGCGTTGTTCAGGTTGAAGCCCGTGCTCCCTCTTACACAAGCATTCCTGCCCTTACCCACTTCCCCTTCCATCTCTCCTCCAGCATTTTCCAGCTCCTGTGTTAGGTCCTTGCCTGGCCTTTGTGCCTAGAGAGCTCTCTGGAATGTTCAGAGAGCCCGTCTTAGCCCCATAGTCTCATCTGACGTAAGTCATCTTGTCCCCTCCTTTCTAGGAATATTCCTAGTCTCTCTCTTTCAGTCTCCCCAGTGAACTGATGGTATAGGAACCCTGGTGGAATAGTAATTTGACATGGTGAGCTGCTAAGCGAAGGATTGATAGTTTAGACCCACCGCTTGATCCACAGCTGAAAGATAAACACTGGTCTCCTGTCACGATTCACAGCCTTGGAAACCCAGTGGCGGGTCAACTCTGAGTCAGAATCTGCTGGTGCTTTATGATTGCATTTCCTGTTGGTGCAGATAGTCAGTGTGCTCAGCTACTTCCCAGAAGGTTTGAGGTTCAAATTCACCTGAACGTTCTTCAGAAGAAAGGCCTGCTGCTTGTAGGAGGTCACATGAATCAGGAGAAGTCCCACAGCAGTGGTTTTGTGGAATGAATCCCACTCACCATCCGCAGTCTGTGGGCCTTACCCTGTTGGACCCGAGGCTGCTTCCTCTGCCTGGAACTCTTCCCCCTGCTTCCTAGACAGCTCATCTTCTAGATCTCGCTGCCCTTTGGGGCCACCGTCTCACAGGTTTCCTCTTCTAACCCTGTTAAGTCTGTCTCCTGTTTGCTTTCTGCTCCTTCCTCTTTGGAAAGCAAGGCTCTTCTCGTGGCCCGTGCTGCGTAGGACAGGGACCTGTGGAGAGCAGTACGTGTCTACTTTATGGGCAGCACGTTATCTGCTGAACCTGGAAACGTCCCAGGCCGCAGTCCTGACTTTCTCTCCTCTCAGTTTCGCCATAGCAAAAAGAGGCCGCCTGCTGCTCGCCGATGACATGGGCCTTGGCAAGACCATCCAAGCTATCTGCATCACGGCCTTTTACCGGAAGGAGTGGCCCCTCCTGGTGGTGGTCCCATCGTCTGTGCGCTTCACCTGGGAGCAGGTTATGTCTCTTTGTGTTGTGATGTTAACAAAGGTTGTGCCTCAGGGTTAGAGTAACGGAGTGAAGTTTGGGATTTTTGAAGATCCTGTCTCAGCCAAAGGCAGGAAGGAAGGGAAGCAAAATGACCAGAGCTAGAGAGAGAGAGTTTTCAGACTTAGAATCAAGTCAAACCTTTAGAGAAGAAAGCTAAGGAGTGATCAAACTCAGCTACTAGCCAGACGATTGGTGGTTCAGACCCACCGAGAGGTGCCTCAGGAGACAGGCCTGGTGGTCTGCTTCCGAAAGGTCACAGCCCTGAAAGCCCAGTGGAGCTTTTCTGCTTGGCGCACGGGAGGTCATCTTGAGTCAGAACCAACAGCATTCAAGCTCAGAACCCTGGCTGTATCCGTTGATGGAGATTTCCTAAAACTAACCAGTTCCTTTCCCTTCAGGCTTCCTTCATGGCAGCTTTGACTGTGTCGGGGTGCAACTGGGCTCCACGCAGCTTTGAGCGGCTGAGTTTTCCGAAGTAGCTCGCCAGGCCTTTCTCCCAACCTCCAGCCTTTCTCGCCTAGCAGCCAGGCACACTGACCACTCCTACCACCCTGGGACTAGGAAATTGCTGAGACTCGCTTAATCCCTCTTAATTCTGTAACAGCCATGTTTATTAGACATGGTAAGTGTTAATCCCATTTACAGATGAGTAAACTGGATTTTCACAAGGTTCATTGTCAGGCTCAATGCCAGTGAGGAGAAGTGTGGAAACTCAAGGTCATGCTTCTTGGCTATGTCTGTTGTACTGTATGGTAGGCAGCGAAGCTAAGATGGGCACTACCAGGTGCTTTCAGTGAAGAATCTGACATGAGCAGCGTCTTGTCCCTACCCTTAAGCTTTTTCTGCCATAAATTCAAGGATCAGAAAGAGATGAAAATCCTGAAGTTCAAGCTCTCTGATGCACCACGAGTGGGGAAGGAAGACCCGATTCATTCTTTGTGACTCGACTTTGCTTTGCACTTAACCATATAAGCGACCCCACAGGTTCCCTTCTTTCTAAGGCCCCAGAGAGCCAGGCCTGCTAAGGTCCGCCTGATTCCTAGACACGCCACATTAACTAGGGAAAGGCAAATCTGGAAAAATATGTGTGTAGATGATACCTTCTCCTCCTCCTGTCTTTGTAATGTGAATTGTCCCAGTGTCTCCAGACACCAGACCCTCAGCCACCCGGCTGATTGTGACGAGCAACAGTTCTCCAGGCCAGAGTAGAGCTGCCCCATGGTGGTTTCATAGCTGTAATTCTTAGGGACGCGGATTACCCCATCCCTCTTCCATGGAGCGCCTAGTCAGTTTGAACCACTGACCTTTCAGTCAGCAGCCGAGTGCTTTGACCACTACACCACCTGGCTCCTTGATAATCCCATCTGCCTATTTATTCGAGAGGCATTAAATTAAAAAAGGTTAAATCACCTTCACACGCCAGAAACTCTAGGGAAGAGACTAAGGGTTAGAGGGGGACACTGGGCTAGAGGAAGAACTGGCACCTCCGGTAGCACAGACAACGGTCCGCCCTGTGAGCTGCGCAGTGCCTGGCACGGGAGCACTGATTTCCTCCATCAGCTTGGGCACCTGAGTTCGTGGGAGGGTGGTCAGTGTTTTGGAGAGAGCATTATCAATTTGTAGAATATAATGGCATAAATGTTTTTATCAAAAAGGATCCTATTCTTTCCTTACAGCAATTTGCCATCTAGTTAGAGACCATAGACAAGAAACCCAGAGTTCTCCAAGTGCCTGTCAACCAGCTTGCTCACCAAGGCGAGAAGTCTCCTTTTAGGGGGACGTGAAAGGGGTGGACAGGGACAAGGAACGTCGCCATGATTGGCTCAGTGGTGCCAAGGATATTACGATAAATGCCAGAGGGTGTGAGAGGAGACGCTGAGCTCACTTCTCAGGGAACATTGAAGGCGAGAGTGTCAGTGACGACTTGGCTGGGGTCAGCGCTGGCTGGCAGCTACTAAGCTGGCTTCTCATTGTGCTTTGTTCTTTCCTGTCATCCCCAGGCCTTCCTCCGGTGGCTGCCATCTCTGAGCCCAGACCACATCAATGTCGTGGTGACCGGGAAGGACCGCCTGACAGCCGGCTTGGTCAACATTGTCAGCTTTGACCTTCTTAGCAAGTTGGAAAAACAGCTAAAGACCCCTTTCAAAGTCGTCATCATTGTAAGTGACTTGGCACAGGGCTTTAAAGCTTACCTCTGTGGAAGCATCCTTCCTTAAAAGCCCAGTGAACTTTCAGATCTGTACAGATAATCCCCAGGTTACAGATGCTGTCAGTTCCCAAGCGAGTTCAGTTGAATTTGTAGATAGGAGGAGCAGCTCTGTAGAGTCCTTATTTAACTTTACTTCAGTGTAAGAACAGGCATGAGGCCTTTCCCATCGCTTACGATCTACACATGTAGCAAGTGAAGGTTGTGATGAATTTGTTGTGAGTTGGGGTTGGTCTCACCATTTCAGAGCAGCCCTTTCGAGTGGTTCATTCTAGTTCAAACCCCTCCTCAGAATTTGTCTTTCCACTCCAGATAGACTAAATCAGAATCTATATTTTTAACATAATCCCCTGGCGATTCTTACATGTACTTAAAAGTCTTATTAAATATTAAGGATCTTGCCAAAGTATAAATTCTGACTCAATATTTCTGGGGTGGAAAAGCAAATTCTTAGCAAGGGTCGAACTGGAATGAACTCATTTCAAAGTGAATACAGATCTGTGTAATTTTTTTTATTTCATTTTATTATTTTTGTGTGTGTACCGTTAAATCAGATCTGACTGGTACAGGAGGAGATAGTCCCTTCTTCTCCAGCAGAGCATCTTGTGGATTCAAACCGCACACCTCTGAGATTGCAGTGCACCTTCTTGCCACTAGGCCACCAGAGCTCCCTCAGATCTTTGTAATCTTAAAGGGCAAGTTTGACCTGTCTATAATCAAATGTTTGTAACCTGGTGATTTACCTGTAATCTCTTTCAAACTCAGTTTCTCGGAGAATAGAAGACTTTTCTCCAGTTTGTAAAGAACTACTATTTCTTGCTTCTCAAATAAGAGTTCTCAAGCCTCACTGCATGTTGGAATCTCCGAGGGAGCGTTGATAAAATGTGATTTGTAGGTCTGTGCATGAGTTTTCCATAGTATCTCTTCCTAGTGTGAGGCCATTGGTGGATTCCAGACGTGACTCCAGGCTGCCTGGGCTCAGAGAACGGTCCGTAGACAGTGTTTTGCCAGATACCTCAGTTCTGTGGTTCAAACCATACGTTTTCTTCTTGCCAAAAAGAAGATTCTTTCCTCCTCCAAAAAAAAACCAAAAAACTTTTATACATTTTTATTTGAAAGAATCCTAACTAAAATCCTACTCTCAGATTTAATGAGACATCTTTCAGTTGCTCACTTTCTTAACTCATCACATATTTCATAAACCAGCCACTTCCATCAGTACTGACTCCACCGGTGGTGTCTTTTACAAATAAGAACCTGTAGAGAAGCAAGCATTGTGCCCTGTCTTCATCTGTCCAGTCCCACCCTGATCCAGGTGACCGCTTACAGACCGTTAGTGGTCTAGCATATTAGCATATTGATTTACTTTGCAAGTTCATGCTTGTTTTTCCCTCTTTGCCAGACAAGACTCCTGATGTCTCCAGATGATATGAAAGGTCTTGCTCTTCTTTTCCAAACTTGTGAATTTAAGGAAACTGTGGCATTTCTCTTCCTCTTAACAATAAAACTCTGATGGCAGTGACTTCCCACATGTTGACGCTGTGCCACAGAGCTCCCCACATAGGGCTAACTTGAGGGGAGGCCTGTCCGCTCCTTTGTTCGTCTGGCACTTTGAGGACAGCCCTGCACCCATCACTGACCGGTGCACTGGGGGTGTCGGGAGTAAGGCACCCTCATCCTTCCTGCGCCTGTGGTCTAGTAGGAAAGACGGACACACAGTAGGTCATTAGGATACATCCGAGTGCAGGACCGAGGTGTGAAAAGACTATCGTGGGAGCTTAGAAAGTGATGGAGAAGACATGATTGTCAACTCAGGGAACCTGTTCTTACATGTTGCACAGAAGAGCAATTCTACATTCTGAGCAGCAGCAAACTTAATTTTTTAGAATTTTTTTTTCAGAGCTGTGTGTAAAATGAACCTTTGCTTAAAGTAGTGTGTCCATTCTGTGCCTGTTTGCCGGGGGGGCTCTCTTCTCACCACACCCTGACATATTTTATAAGCATATTTATGCCTTGTTTGTTTGTTTACATTGGCATAGCGCATATATTGGCCATCCACTCCTGAAATGACAGGCCTTCAAAAATGCTACGTACAACAGAGCACACTTAGATTAGATACCAGATATGGAACCAAAGGCTGAGTCTTCTCTTAAGAATCACAGAGGAGGAGGAACAGTTGTAAACAAACCTTAGTGATTGGAAAGTGACATGTAGACTGACTCAGTGACTAGGGTAATGGGGGTAAGTGTTTCAGAGACAATGAAAATTGGCTCAAGATACAGCAGGATTCAGAGCTGTTGGGTTGCTATGAGTCACAGGCCACTCGCAGGCACACTTAGGAAGAAAGCCCTTCATTGGAAGGGCACAAAAGGCAAAAAAAAATGTAGAACTCACTTTATTTGTGTGAGCTTCTTGTTTGGCACAAATTCAACTATGGCTTCAGGAGGGAAAAAAATGTTACCATGAGTGTAAAATGAAAACAGTAAAAGAATTATCCTAGTCAAGTTGAGATGGTTCTGGGGCAGGTAGGAAGAATAATGCCTTAATATTGTCTTTCTTAGAGTAAGGAGCTCTGGTGGCTGGGTGCTTAAAATGCCCAGTTGTTGATTGAAGGCTCAACAATGCAAGCCCACCAACAGTGCAAGCCCACCACTTCTCTGTGCATGAACTGTGTAACTGTCTGCTTCCTTGAAGGTTACCTACTGGCCTTGGGAGCTGTCCAGGGCACTTCTGTCCTGAAGGGTAATTTCAGTTGGAATCAACTTGATGCCAGTGGGCGTGGTTTGGTCTTGCATTAGGTACTTTGCATATATAATAGTAAACTTTCCTTAGTCTTTACTGGCGGCGGTTATCCTTAATATTCTGACATTGAAACTGAGACAGGTTAAAGAAATGACTTGCAGGTATGATGCCTGCAAGTTGGGGAGACAAGGGTTCAAGCTGGGCGGCCACTAATGGTCCGTAAGTGGCCACCTGCATCAGAGTGGGACCGGACAGATGAAGGCAGGGGCACAATGGTTGCTTCTCTACAGGTTCCTTATTTGTAAAAGACATCGGTGGAGTCAGTACTGATGGAAGTGGCTGGTTTATGAACTATGTGATGAGTTCAGAAAGTCAGCAGCTGAGAGATGTCACATCCAGGTTTGTGGAAAGTGATGCTGCCCTAACGTTTGGGAACTTCTCTTACACTCCCTTCTGTTGTGCATTTGGGGTCTGTCCTGGCACATTGCAGCTGCAATGAGATGGGAAGCCTTCTTGTGATTGATTCTCGAGCACCAGGAGAGGCCAGCCATGAGAGCAGCTGACGCTCTTAAAGCGGGGCTCCCCCAGAGCACCTCACAGACTGTAACAAGCAGGTACGTGGTGGTGGTGTTTACCGCTGAGTCTGAATCCACCACTGCTCACCCTTCAGCAGGTTTTCAGAGGCAGTAAATTACCTGAAAGGAGATTGCCCATCTATCTCTCACTGGGCAGCTGGTAGATTCAAATTGTGCACCTGTGTGGTGGCCGCCCAGTTCCTTACCACCAGACCACCATTAGGAAGTACTTCATAACCACGCAGAGAAATGAGCACCAAAGAGAGGTCAAGTTCTTGCTGACATAGTAGCTAATCTGAATGTGTACCAAGCTAGAAATTCTCCGCAACCACACACCACAAACATGAGCAATAGTCATACGGCTTTGGAAAGTCTAATAAATGTATTTGCTTCTCCATGGAATACAGAGCTGTAATCTCCCTCCATTTCTCCAGAGTAACTGATGAGTCCCTAAAGCTAGGTGTCTTTTTCCCTTTCTCAGCCCCCTCTGCCCACACCTCCGTGGTGGCATGTAGCATGTCCCCTGATAGACTGTCGGTGTGTCTGGCTTTATTGTTGAGCTATGAACCCTGAGGTCAGGGGCTGTCCCATCATCTCTGTGCCCTTGATACTTGTGCCTGACCGGTGCAGGGTCACGGTGTGTCTTCGTGCCCTACACATGAGAGGCACAGCTTGTGAAGCCAAGGCCAGCCTGCCAGTGGTTCCTTTGTCACTGCACCCCATGAGGTGGGCAGGGCGAGGCAGTCACCAACCTCGCTTTTTAGGGGGGCAGTCTCTCAGATAAATAGCTTGTCCAGAAGGGAGTAGAGAGATGTCACCTGAATCCCAGCCCTCACCCCAGCCACAGCTGTGTCCGTGGAAAAGTGCTGAGACAGACATCCACTTGAAAACGACCAGCTGGGGTCAGGCCTGATGTGGGGTTCTGCCTTCTTCAGCTTTGTGCCTTTTCTTTTCAGGATGAATCTCACTTCCTCAAAAACAGCAAGACTGTCCGCTGTCGAGCAGCTATGCCCATTCTAAAGGTGAGTGTTGCTGAGTGCAGACTTTGGGCCTGAGCCCACTGGCCATGCCATCCGGCCGTGTTGTACTGAAGCTGGCAAGGGGTCCAGGCTGTGGGCTGAGTGTTGGCGTTGACTTAATCATTAACCAGTTGTTGTGGAGTCTCTCAGCTCAGAGCTGCCCACAGGTGGTTTGGGGGGTTTGGTTTGTTTTTTTTCTTTAACCATTGCTTTCGGGTACAGTGACCTTGTGTGTCTCTTCCACCTTCAGTGACCTTCTGTGACCTTTTGTATTAGATCCCTAGGCCTTGCTTCCAAGGCAGTTCTGTGAGGATTTAAACCACCAGCCTTTAAGTTAGCAGCTGAGACTGTTTAATCATTTGCCTACCCAGGCATCTTGGCACCAACTTGAGGCATCTTTACTTACAGCTTTAAGGCCAGTTTCCTTTGTCTTCTAATATCCTAACCTCTGAGCAGTTGATGTTGTTAGGTCCTGCCCCTCAGAGATGAATTAGTGCCCTGTTGAAGGGACTGGACTTCAGAATCTTCCTCAGGAAAAAAAAAATGACCTGACTCCTCTGTGACCAGCTCCAGGAAGCTGCTTTATCTTCAGAGTCACTTAGAGTGGCAAACTGTCACGCTGCTGGAAACCATCGTGCGTAAAATGAGAGAAGTACTCATGCAGAACCTGGTGGGTGCCAGCAAGAAGCACTGGCAAAGACAGTCCTTTGAAACCAGTGCCTTTTTCTGTGGGTCCCCATCCCCCTGCCAAGCCTGTTGACAGAACAGCCAGCGTCCCTTGGCATCCTGTGCCATGAGGATTTAAGCCCGGGTGACTTGAGTGCTTGGCTGTGAGGAATCCAGGCTCCTGGAAGCAATTAGTGTCTCCAGGGTCTGTAGATTTCTGTCTTAATCTGAGTCATCTCTCCATCAAACATGTCCTGTATGCCTGTGTCCTGGCCCCACACCTCTGCCCAAAGAAAGCTTAATTGTCTCGCATCCTTCTGAAGTAAGTTTGTTCCTGATATGGAAACAAACTGGAGTTTTTCCAAGACAAGTCAGAAATTCCTCACAGATGACTTGGAAAGAATGCACTTTAGCTAGTATGTTGTTGTTGTTATGTGCTGTCGAGTTGCTTGCGACTCATAGTGACCCTATGTACAACAGCCCTAAACTGCTCTGTCCTGTGCCAATCGCACTGTCTCCAATACACCCATCCTGATTACCCCAGTCACTGAATCAATCCCCCTCACAGAGGGCCTTCCCCTCCTGCCTCGTCCCTCCACCCTCCCAAGCATGATGTACCTCTCCAAAGACAGGTCTCTCCTCACAACATGTCCAAAGTATGTCAGACAAAGCTTCAGAATCCTTGTCTCCAAGGAGCATCCTGGTTTAACCTCTCTAGGAGATTGAGAAGCAAAAAAAAGTGTGTTTTATCCCTATTCTCTATTATAACTACCTTGGTACGAAACAAATACGGTAAATGTTGGTTACATTTGAAAATTTATCTTATCAGTCATTATTCCCCCCAAACACACCCCAGTGTCTGTTTATTTTAAAGTGTGGAGTTTTGTTGATGCTTTTTTAGAAATAATAGGTAATAGGATACATCTTCTGAGGCAGGATTGCCACATGCTCCAAAGTTAGAAATAAAATCTCTTTACTTAAAAAGCTTGATCCTAAAAAAAAAAAGCTTGATCCTCAGTTCATGTTGCGCATAAATATTTATATATATCGACAGCTATTTATGGCCACATTAAGCTGAAGTATTATGCCCAGGGTAGTGACCCTTTTGGAAAGCTTTCATATGTTTTCCTTAGAAAAAGTTAATAGACTGGTTGGCACCATAGTTCCAATATTAAAGACTTGACTAAAATTAACTCTGTATCCATGATTGTTTAGAGAAAAGAAATGCACAATAGATAGACTGTATCATTAGCTTTATAACATGAAAGCTTCTTAACAGCCGCCTTGTTAATGTTGTTTGGGCTGAGCTATGTGTTGGTTTCTGAAATACATGCTTCTCAGCTAGAACTTGTAAAGCAGTGTTCAGGTCTTTAATATCACCTTACGTTTATGAAAGAAGACGTGAAGCATTTCCTGAAGATCAAAGACCACAGCCTTCAGTCAAACCTCAACAGCAAGAGAACAAAAATTCTCATTACCGGACCAATAGGCAACATACCGGTGGATGGAGAAAAGGTTCATGTTGCCAGGGATTTCATTTTGCTTGGATCTACAATCAATACCCATAGTGGCAGCAGTCAAGAAACCAAAAGATGTATTGCACTGGGGAAATTTACTGTCAAGGAACTCTTTACAATGCTAAAAAACAATGCTTTCTGTTTTAAGACTAATGTGCTCCTGATCGTGATATTTTCAGTTGTTTTGTATGCATCTGAAAGTTTGACAGTGAATAAGTAAGACTGAAGGTTAATAAATGCCTTGGATTTGTGAGGTTGGAGAAGAGGGAATATCCCGTGGGCTGCCAAAAGAACCAGCAAATCTCTCTTGGAGGAAGTGGTTAACCAGCATGCTCTCCCGAGGTGGGGATGGTGAAGCTTTGTCTCATAAGCTCTGGGCATGTGGTCAGGAGGGGCCAGTCACTGGAAGAAGATATCAAAATGGGAAAGGTCAACAAAAGAGAAGAAGACCTTCAAGGAGATGGATTGATAGTGACAATGACAGTGGGTCCGAACACGTCAGTGATTCTGAGGAGGGTTCAGCACAGGACAAGATTCTGATCTATTGTTCATAGGGTCGCGATGAGTGTAGTTGGTACAGTGGCACCTAACAACAGCAGCACTATCACCTCCCAGTCTAGGAAGATTATAGGGCAACTGATTGAATTGTCGTGAAGGCATTCGGCTGCTAACCTGTGTGAATCTGCCAGCCAGTCCACCGGAAACAGATGTGTTAATCTGCTTCCATAAGGTCCCACAGCCTTGGGGGCGTTCTGCTGTGACCTAGTGTCCCTGTGAATTGGAATCAACCCTGTAGCCGTGGCTTTGGATATTGATCCGGTATTAAATGCATCCTATAAATGTCTGATGAGCCCCCTGCACTTGATTACTGTCTCCTGACCTGGGAACGTGATCGCTGGACAAGTTCAGTGACGTGGATGAGTGGGCTTTGGATGATGGACAACATTTGCTTGCACAGAAAACTTTGCATTTCCACCCTCCCCCCCATTTCATTGAAAGGGTTTTGAGCCATGGCAAGCCGGGCTACAGACGTCATTCTTGAAGCTCATTGTTATTTTAATGAGCCTGCATTAAGCCATGCAGGAAATTAGAAGGCCCGGGTAATTGAACTGTGGAAAATGATAACTGGAGAGATTTCTGGCGCTCTTGTCATAATAGGGTTGGGTAGTGCTGGCTGCTGAGAGAGGAGCGATGCGTCTTGAGAATTGTCTATGTTGTATCTTTATCATTTTTCCTCCTCCCTGTTGCATCTTGATTTCTTTTTACAAGGAAGCATGTCTGTTTGAAAACTCAATCTCCCCTCCCCTCAAATGATTCCTGCACATGACTGCCTTCTACCACTGTCATTAACTCAAGGTTACAGTGACTAACAAGCTGTCTCTACACAGCTGAACTCCATGGTATGGTCTCTTCCCAAAGCTGAGATGAATTTTACCTTTAGTGATTTTTGGTGACTGGATGTTCCAGTGCACTGAGAAGTGCTTTTCCTTTTCTTAAAAAAAACCCCATAACCAAACAAAAAAACAAAGCAAAAACAAACAAAACAACCCCAAAACAAACCTGAAGGAACTCTCTGTTGCATCTTAGCAAGAAGAAGCTGGATGTTGGGTCTGCTCTCTCTGAATCAGCTTGGTGTCAGGGTAGCGAGGAGCCTGGAATTCCATCTCCGAATGGACAGGTTAGTTATTTCCCTCCCTCCTGCACTGAACAAGCTCCCTCAGGTCAGGCTGGGTTTCGGGTCAGTGGACCCAGGCCCACCTTTCCTGTCCTTATTACCTGCAAAATGAGCTTGAGCCAGGGACTTCTAGACTTGAAACATTCTGGAGTCAAGTTGGTGAAGGCCTTGCTTTCCCGTCATAGAAATTAAAGTGGAGGCTGACAGTGAGGCAGCCCAACACTCCCTCCTGGGAGGAGAGTTTAGGCATTAAGAGTTAAGCTCTGATGGGAAGTTCAGCTGGATATCAGAAACCCGTCTGGAAGAAGCTCAGACCTACTGCTGTTCCCCTCATTCCCTCTTCCTTTTCCAGTGCCAGGTTCTGTGCCAGGTTCTTTCCCTTCACCCCTTGTTCCCTAGGCCACTGATTCACTTCCTTCAGAACAGTGTGTCGTGTTGCTAACCAAATGATCGGCCCTTTGAATGATCAGCCCTGCTCCTCTGGAGAAAGATGGCAGCCACCTCCTATTAAGATTTATAAGGGAGCTCTGGTGTCCTAGTGGCAAGACGCTGCACTGCAATCCCAGAGGTATGCGGTTCAAATCCACCAGATGCTCTGCTGGAGAAGGAGGGAGCAATGTCCTCCTGTACCAGTCAGATCTGATTTGACGGTACACGTAAAATTAATACAATAAAAATTAAAAAAAAATTATAGACTTCAAAACCTCACAGAGGGACTCTGTGAGTTGGAATCCACTTGATGACAGTGGGTTAAAGTTAGGATTTATTGATTGATTTATCAATCAATATTGATTTATCAGACACTATGCTACAGAGGAGTGCCAGGCTGTGGAGGTCCCTGATTGGTTTCCTGTACCTGCAGCAAGATGGCGAGGTCAGGAAGCCTCCGAATCCATCTCTGCTCCTTGGAGTCAAGGATTCTGAAGCTCCATCTCACGTACTTTGGGCATGTTGTAAGGAGGGACCAGTCGTTGGAGAGGGACATCATGATTGGGAGGATGGAGGGACAGCGCAGGAGAAGAAGACCCTTGATGAGATGGATCGATTCAGTGACTGGGGTAATGGGAGTAGGTGTGTCAGAGACAATGAGATTGGCACAGGATAGAGCAGGGTTTAGGGCTTTTGTACACAGGGTCACTATGAGTCTCAAGTGACTTGATGGCACATAACAACAACAACACTACAGAGCAACAAAGCGGAGAGCTTAGTCATTGATCATAAGAAGTTTGTAGTCAAAAGGAAAAATAATACATGAGCCCTCGTTTATGAACCATCTCGAACTGGCAAATGTGTACAGACCTAAGCTTGTTGGTGGCTCCCAGGGGCGAGCAGGAAAGAGGGAGAAAGGAGAACTTCCTTACAGGACACTGAGCTGCTGGTCAGGGTGATGGGAACATCTGGAATTGGAGAATAATGGTGGTTGCACAATGTGCGAAGGAGAATCGGTATCACCAAGTTGTATAAAATGGTGAAATGGCAGATAGTTTGTTACATAGATGTTTGTCACAAAAAAGAAAGCAGTGTGTGCTATCTAGTGAGGGAGACAGAAGGAGAAAAACACTGAGTGTGAGAACAGACTGGCAGAGCGTGCTGTGAAGACGGCACGTGAGGACTTAACTGTTGGTGGCATCCCAGCGCCCTTGGCGAGGCCATCAGGCTCTCTGCTCATACTCCTTTCACACGGTGAGCCCAGTGTGATGCCGAGTCTTGAGCAGAACCCAGCTTTTAGCATCTTTGGAGCCTGTGCTTGGTTTTAAGGTGCTTAAACTTAAGAACTGCTAGCAGTTTACTCAATAAGTAAAAGGGGGGGGGGTGCGCGCACGTGTGCTAGATCCCTAGGGATTTTGCCATTCCTGGTGGCCTCGTTGGGACCCGTTGAGTTTTCCCGTCATCCCTGTGTTTTCTAGGTTGCCAAGAGGGTGATCTTGCTGTCGGGCACCCCAGCCATGTCCCGGCCCGCTGAGCTCTACACCCAGATCATCGCGGTCAGGCCAACCTTCTTCCCTCAGTTCCATGCCTTCGGACTGCGCTACTGTGACGCCAAGCGGGTACTCCTTGTCTCTTCTTTCTTTGACCCCCACGTCCCTCACCCTGATGGTGGCACTTCCCTTTTTCTTCCTTCTCCCCGCCCATTGTGTGGTGAGAACCTATGAGCTGGGTGGAGATTTTAGTTCTGATGAGCTTGACTAACCTGAGCATTTCCTTAAGAAAGGTGAGGATGACCCCTCTGGCTGTAAGATCTGTGGTGGTCCCAGGCCAGTGTTCTCTAGTGTTGGGACCAGCGGCTGGGGCTAGAAGTGTGGGCCTCTGGGAGTCAGTGGCTCTTGCCTAGACACAAGCTGGGGCTGAGACTCTGGCGGAGGAAAAGAGAGAGGTGACAGGAGAACGGGAAGAAGAAACAGGGAAAAAATATCACTGCAAAGACAAAGGAGGCGGGGGCACTGTCTGGAACTGCTTTGGGTCGATTTTTGTCACTGGACCTTTGCTTGTAAGTGGTGACTGAATCCTGCCTGGTCAGTGGCCGCAAGCCTTCGTCCGAGAGGTTCTTTTCATGAATGCTGTGTTGGTGCAGCAGGAACTTTCAGAGCTATAATATGTGCAGCATGAGGTCTCCAGAAATGGCCCAGAAAGCCCCCTAACACAGATACCGGGCACTTGAAATCTGTTTCTGCTCTCATTTATTGGTGGTTACCAGGACAGGCAAGAGGGTGGAACTCAGGGATCTCATTACTTAAGTGAGACACTGAAGCTCTTGTAAGGGGGAAGGACAATTCTGAAATGACATCACGGTGATGGTTGAACAACAGGATGAGTGTGATTAAGGCCACATAATGTTATACATGAGAAAAATGTTGACATGAGAAATATTGGTGGTGGTTGTTGTTAGGTGCCGTAGAGTCATAGACGACTCATAGCGACCCTGTGAACGAAAGGCCTGAGCACTGTTCATAGAGTTTCTGGAGGCAAGCCATTTCGGAAGTGGGTGCCACTCCTGCTTCCAGGCTTGTTTTAGTTGGGAAGCTCCAGCAAACACTATCCACCATGGGTAACCATTACCACATTTGGCACATCTGTGTCACAGTGTTCAGCATCACAGCAACCAGGAGTTACCTCTGTACAGCAAATGCACAGACCAGTGCTATACCTCCTAGAAGAATGTTTGACAAAAAAGTGATTTGAACCAGGCCTGAGGGCCGCAGATTAAAATCACACACCTTGGGCTTGGTAGCATAACTGTCTGTCCACTGGGCAAACGTAGCTCTCTCTATGTTGTCGTTGTTGTTAGGTGCCATCGAGTCATAGACGACTCATATCAACCCTATGAGTGAAAGGCCTGCACACTGTTCAATATTGGTTACGTGTGGATTTATGTCTCTCTCTCTCATTGCTATAGGATGGGAGCCCACTCATTGCTGACCCTCTGTTGGTTTTCTGATGAGACCACTGGTTTATTTGTACCACCTGGGAGGCGTGGTCTTTGGCTCCGTTGCACAGCTCCCAATGGATTTGTGCTCCCGGTGTATTTGCCACAGTTAAGAGAGACACACACATGGGGAGGGGCGGGTACAATATAGTCTCTTTCTAAAACTTTATTAACTCATACCTTAGGGATTCCTACTTTGTGATCAAATCACAGATTTGCATAGCTCCTGTGTGCAGCTGAGATACCAGTTGTTTGGCGAAGTGACAAGTCACGTCACATAAAGGACATTCCCACATTCTATTAGGGAAAAGACGCCTAGGCAAGTTCTTGACGTATAAATAAGATTATCTGCCTTAAATTTTTTCTGTACTATTTTTTCTAAAAAGAGCAATTTTTTTTCCAAGTACTTTAAAAATGTCCACTTACATACAAACAGAGTTCTTCTATTCAAGAGAAGTCCCTATGTTGTAAATTGTAGGGCTTTTCAAACTTAATTGTAAACCATTTTTAGCTGGTTATTGAAGCAAACATCTCCATTTTTAAACATATTTAAAGGCTTTAGACTTCTCTGACAAAATCTGCAATCCACTTCCCCCCCATGGACCAGGCCAAATGAGGCTGATGATGTAAAGTTCTTAGGGCCCTTCAGAGCTCTTCCAGTGCAGATTTTGATAATAATCTTTACCTCTTCACGGTCTGGATTTATGGAGTTAATACTGAGCGAGTGATGAAAGGAATTTCCCAAGCAATCTGTCCTGTTCTGTGTTCCCAGTCCCAGGCCACCATCCTCCCAGTCCCTCAAGGCAGAAGCCAAGGAGACAGCCTTGAGTTCTCTCCTCTCCCCATAAAATAAGCAAAGCAAACAGCGTGTCTTCCACAGAGCCCAGTTTATGAGACTCGTTGGTGATTATCCTCAAGTCCAATTTAAATCTTTTGTGTTGTTGGGTCTTGACCTCCACGATTAAGAGCTAGTGGTATATTAGAAGTTAGGAGCATGATAAACAGACTGATTATAATATCCACTTGTTCCCAGCATGGTTTTTATTTAATGCAGCCCGTCAGCCAGACTGCTGCGTATAGGCCATCTTCATGCACTCAGAGAAGCTGTTGATGGGAACAGCCCTTGCTGAGCTTGTTTGTGACCTCAGAGTAGCTAGAAGGCTTTTGCCAAGAACTTCCCATCAGTTCCAGAGTTGGGGATTTTCTTTTGTATTTTGCTGGCTTTGAGCTTGTTGGTTTTTAAAGAAGAAATCACTTTTGATCCTTAGTTTGATCAGTTTTGATCATTTGTAGATAACCTACTACGACAGGTTTGGAAGCAGGAATGGCATCCACTTTCTAAACAACATGCCTGTGGAAACCCTATGAACTCTGATAAATGTTGATAGTTGTAGGGGTCTTCAGGCCTTTTGTTCATAGGGTCGCTGTAAGTTGTGCTTGACTCGAAGGCAATCAACAACAACAGGGAACCAGCCCTGCCTCACCAAGATTCCAGGTCCAGGGCCCCTAAAAACATGCATGTACCCAGCCCCCACTCTCAGTTAGCTTATAGGCCAAGGAGGGGAGTTGGGTAGCCAAAAGTCTAAGGTGGCATGGGGTTCCTTCATCTGCAATTCTCTGCTTTTTCCAGTAAAACTGTTGGTGATGGATACAGCTTTGTTTGTTTGTTTGTTTACATCTTTGTTATTGTTGTTGTTACATCTTTTTTAGTCTTTTCCTTGTGATTTGAGGCAAAGTTTACAGGGCAACTTGGTTTTCCATTCAGCCCTTTAATTATAGCCTCCACATTATAACATCACCCTTCCTCCACCCACCCTGTGGTTCTCATTTCCATTCATCCTTCAGCCTGTCTTTTCCTGCCCTCTGAGCTTTATCCTTGGGCAGGCACTGCCCTTTTGATCGTGGATGCTTGATTGTCCTGAGGAATGAGTACTAGTGCTACTGGTCACCATATATACCTGTTTGATGGGAAGTTAAGCCAGACAGTGAGGTTAGTTTTCTTTATATTCATGACTCTTCCCCCTCCTTCCCATTCTCACCTGTTTCTCATTTTTATTCTTTTGGGCATCGCCTTGCCTTCTAAAGCCGCATGACGTTCTCTGGGCAGAGCTAAGCTAGGCGCAGTGGGCCTGGCAGTCTGGGCCCGGGGCGCATCCTCACCAGCTGGGTCTCCTCTTCCGCAGATGCACTGGGGGTGGGACTACTCAGGCTCCTCCAACCTCAGCGAGCTGAAGCTTCTGCTGGAAGAATCGGTCATGCTGCGGCGCCTCAAGTCTGACGTCCTTTCCCAGCTCCCTGCCAAACAGCGCAAGATGGTAGTGGTCGCCCCTGGACAGATCAGTGCCAGGGCCAGGGCCGCCCTGGACGCCGCAGCCAAGGACATGACCACCAAAACCGTGAGTTGGGGCTGGAGCCAGGGAGGTGGAGGCAGACACATCCACAGGTGCACCTTCCCGAGAGGGCGCTGTGCACAGCTCCCAGGTTCCCAGACGCGCCCTTTCAGAACCTCTCCCCTCCTCCCTAAGCAAGAACAAGAAGTCCATTTCCTTTTCCTGCCTCATGTGGTCTGAAAGCCCTTATGAGTTTGCAGCTTTCTTCTTGAATGACGTTCCTGGATGGAGTGGACATTTAATGTGGTCAGCTGCTAGCTGAAAAGTGGGGGATTCCGTCTGCTCAGGCACCACAGAAGATAGGCCTGGCTGTCTGTTTCTAAAACGTCCCCATTGGAAGCTCTGCGGGCGCTGTTGTATCACAACACACACAGGGCTTCATGAATCAGGCTCAGCTCAGTGGTCAGTGTTCTGCTTTGAACAGATGGCCATTAAAGTAAACCCAGGGGAATGAGAGGCTGAATGCCTCTACGAAAATGACAATTTATGTTTAGTTTATTTTTTTTTAACATGGAGAGAAATACATTTTAACATTTTGTCTTATATAATATTGCATTTCCACTTGAAAGAAATGTTACATTATGTTTAGTATATTTTAAGAAAACATCCGTCTCTTCTCCTCGTAAGATGGGCAGTATCCTTCCGTGAGATTTGGAGTCTCTGATAATCTTCTTGAGAGTCAGCTCTGAGTTGACTCAGTCTCCACAGCATACAACAGCATGACACCCACGTAGCTGAGCCTGGTAGGTTCATGGGTTCCCAGAGACAGAGTCAATAGATTTCTCCTAGGGCACATGGGACCAGGAATGAATGTGAGGACAGAGATGTCCTCCTTCATCAACTCCATTCTTGAACCTAGCCTTTCAGGAATTGGTAGTATTCTTTCAAAGACAGAACTACAGCACAAGAGACTATTCCTGGGCAATCGATGATAATAATAATAATAATAATAATGTGATGAGTCCTTTAAAGAACGGATAGATAATGAACACTGTATTAGAACAGATGAAGGAAAGAACTATTTAAAAGGAATCTATGATTAGGCATTATATGTAAGACAAAAGCCCAGAGTAAGAGGTACATTGTGAAGAGGATTAGGGGCGGGGGAGGAAATTGTGCAACAATGAATGAATATTAAGAAAAAAAAGGAAGTGAACTGAGGAGGGGAAGGGAGGAGGAGGGAGGGAAATGTGCAACAATAAATGAATGAACTCCAAATGTTCTGTAAACTTTCATTAAAATCATGATTAGAATTTAAAATTTTATTATTAAAAAATAAAGTTGAGTTGGAACCGGAAAAAACCCCCAAAACCCCTCAGTCTAATGTCAGTTGCTAGAAGTGATCTTGTAGGTGTTTGCTAAATGTTGATCTTCTAACCCGTGCTGTTACCTGCTCTGGTCATAACAACATTTGTATTTGTTTAACAAAGTGGAGTTTTCCAGCCCCCATAGCCCTGTAAATTCTTATTATGTCCATTTAGGATTGACAGAAGCTTGTGTCTCTGTTTCCCAGGGATGGAAGCTGAGGGAAATACTGGGACCGTGACTTCCCGAAGTCCCGTGGCTCGTGACCAATAGAGCTGAGACTAAAACCACACCTCTTGCCCTCCCATTTCACAGCTCTTTCCACTGTGTGCTTTTATTTTCCACATATTTTTATTTAATATCTGTCTGTAGTGTCATCGCGGGCTAAGTACTGGAAAGTAATCGACACCAGCTCTGTTTCCGTCCTCTTGAGATGAGACTGTGCAATTTTCATTGCCAAGAAAATAACCGTCATTGGCACATGTTGGCATTATCATGAAGTATTATCTGGATTTGATGGTAGGCTGTAGAAAAAAACATAGATATAGATGCAATCTCAACCTTCAGGAGATTGCAAATGACTCCGAATGAGGAGCGTGCAGGAATTCCTTAAATGCTCCTTCAATATGTGACGAGCATGACTAACTGGTTCATTTTAAGAAGTGTTTCTTTTTTTTTGTTTTAAATCTTTTTATTTATTTTTTTATTGTTTCGGTGTGGGTGTTTTGTTGGTTTTTTGTGTTGTTTTGTGTGTGTGTGTGTGTGTGTGTGTACCATCAAATAGAATCTGACTGGTACAGGAGGAGATTGCCCCTCCTTCTCCAGCAGAGCATCTGGTGGATTTGAACCACGTACCTCTGGGATTGCGGTGCAGCTTCTTGCCACTAGACCACCAAAACTCCCTAAGAAGCAGTGTTGTGGTTGGAACCAGCTCATAGCTGGCGTGGTAGACAGTGCCAAGTTACACACCATACTTGGTTTATTCTGTAGGGCATATATGTGTCTGGATGAACAATAGGAAATGAGCAAGTGTGCCTTCTTTCCCATGGATCTGTCAGACTTCAACAATAATAATGTGAACATTGTTGTTTGTTGTTGTTATGTGCCATC